TAAGTAACTAGCTTAAATATCTTAAATAATTATAATTAAATATTAAAAATTTATTAAAAAGTTATATATTATATAAATATCAGATAATAAAAAATGTTCAGGAGGTCAAAAAAGTATCCGTGCAAAGAAATATTAATACAAAAATATTGAACGGTTCGTTAAAAAACTATAACGGGTTCTTTAAAGAACCTTATTTTAAGGTTCTTCCGAAGAACCTTTGCAAAGGGTTCTTTAAAGAACCTCTACGAATTTTCCACCAGCGTCAACACGAAGAACCCTTAAAGGTTCTTTGAAGAACCATTCGGGTTTAGAGTGTAGATACGATATAAATGAAATGATTATTATTAGATTTTAGCAGCCGTGGTGCAGTGGTTAGAGCAACCAAAGGTTGCGGGTTCGTTCCTGCTCGAAGCACTTAAACGCTCGAAGCCGTTTTTTATTTATCTGGAAATATTTGCTAATTTGAAAACATTAAATGTTGTGAAGCGCTTTAAAATCTATTGTTTGTTTACCCGTTAAAAAAAGAACTAAATTCATACGAGTAAAAATTTATGCAGAACTTCTTTTTATTAAACTCTTTACAATAAATTTCTTTTGTTTTTAATTTAAAATTAAAAGTATTATCACTATTTTTACGTCGTAAAACTCAATGGCCAGGAATAAATTCGCAATGGCCATGTTTTGGATCTCTGGTCATGATTTGATGTTTTTCACGCCTTGTAATATTTGTGCTAAAACTTGTTAACTTATTACCAAAAACTTCCAAACTTGTCATAAATTGTATCTCAAGAGGTTTTTTAAGAGTTTAGAAATATTTTTAAAAATCTAAGCCATTCGCGGTAACATAAAGCAGTTTAAAATTAAGCGGCCATGATTTGGTGGTTTTACCCTAAAAAAGTTTATTTAAAATTAGAGATCGCTATTTTAAGCAGTATACAGTGCATTTTTGGTACCTTAATCATTTTTAAAAATTGCTCATTGTTAGTTTTGTTTATTGTTATTCTATATTTTTATTAAATAGCACCGTTATTTAAGGTAAATTTAATAACACTTCAATGTCATTTAGAAAACAAAATTGTCGGAAATAGTGCAAAACCGCGTAACTAGCATTGGATAATACCGCATATCTACAATACATTTTTTTTACTGAAGAAGTTTAAATTTTTATATATTTTTTATTTTAACTGATTTTGGGTTCATTTTCGTATAAAATGAACCCAAAAGTATTTATTCATATTTTTTGTAATCTCAACAATAAATATTTGGTGTTAAAATTAATAATATCCGAATATAGTAGCCAATGCTAGTAACGCGGATTTGCACTATCGCCGACGAAATTTTTACTATTGTTTTTATCTCGCTTGCTTTTTAATCTTTTATCTACCTTGCAATTAATAATACGCAAATAATCGTTCCTAATGGGATATGATCTAAACACAACCTAATTAATTTTTGTATTTATAATTTAATTTATGAAATAATTCTTTAAATGTGGAGCACGTTTTCACCTGGTTATCGTCGAAGATTAAATTTAAATTGGTAAAAAAATTATTATTAGAGATAATAATAATTTAAATTTATTAGAATAAACAACATTGAGTAGAGGTAATGCAAGGCATTCTAACTTTTTAAGACAAAATATTTTAAATTTTGAATATAAAAAGCTTATGTTGATGTTTGTTTTACTACTCGTTTAAAAACATTTCTCTGGAATGACATTCCTGAGAAATTTAAAAATTTTAAAACATTCCGAATGTTTTTAAACGAGTAATATAATATAAGCTTTTTATATTCATAATTTAAAATGTTTTGTCTAAAAAGGAATTTCCTCTACAAGCACGCTTTAAATGAAGTATCAATTTCCACGTTTGTATGTTTGTTACTGTTTAAATTTTTTTAGTTGTTATTTCTCAAGAAGGAAGTTGGTTTACTGTAGAAACATACGTTAAAGTACTTTTTTTGATACATAGCTACGAAACAGAGACTGTATCAAAGTTTTCATGCTATAGTGCTGCTAAAAACTATGGAAATATAGGTATGACAATTTTAATTAAGTGTTTTTAAAATGCAATTGCTAAATTTTAATTTTCTTTTATATTTGTGTAGTTATTATTGAAATTTTTTGAAAAGCGGCTATTTCCTGAGATCAGATCCCTATTTTGATTGGACGAAAAATTTGACAAGCGCTAGGTCCGAAAAATTGTTTCTCGTTAGCCGGATATATTTTAACTTGCTTAATATAAAACATATATGCCTTTTATATATGTTCTATTTACGCAAATATTTACCAGCAGACCACGCTGCAATTTTTTTATATTGATTTTTCACAGAATCGTTGCTAAAGGTAAAAATTATATTATAAAAAGATTACGATGGTAAGTTTTGAGAATCATATTAGCATCTTTAATATTACTGCTGAACAAACACTAGAATTTTCATTATTTACATAATTAAAATTTCTTGTACATTATATAAAATTATATTAGCATATTTAATATTACTGTTTTACACATAACTTTAAAATTTAAAGTAGTCTTTAATTTCAAATTTAATAATATATGAAATTGTTGTGCATTTTATATTTGAGAAATGTAACATTACACAAGATGACTTTGTTTCATAGTTAGTTCAAATATAACACAATATTTTTTGTATTATTTTTATATATTTGTTATTACTTTATAAGTTTTACAAACTGGATTTGTGTAGGCATGAATGCATGTCAACCTGTCATACAAATATATTATGTATGTGATATATTTTCTAATCTTTAATCATAAATAGTTTATGATTAAAGATTAGAAAATATATTACATACAAACAAACAACAATAACAATATATTTCGTGTTACAGATGTAACACGAAATATATTGCGCAATGACCTAAATAAAATAAAAAATAATAATAACAATAATAGTAATATGTAATAAGTAAAACCACTTAAAAAAGTAGGTTATAAAAGAAAGTTAAGTTAAATAAGTAAACATAATATTAACTAATAAAAGTAAAATTGCATAAAAATTTATTAAATTATACCAAAAAAATCAGTTTTTTTATTATATATAACAATTAATATAATGTACATATATATATGCACATATACTTAAACAAGAATTATAATAAAATAAGTAAGTTATAATAAAAATAATTATTAAAAATAAAATATTAAAAATTAAAATAAAATAATAAACTATAATAAAAATAAGTCAAAAGATAAAAAGTAAAAATTTCAAAAGTAAAGTTAAGCATAACCTTTTAGGTAGAAATGATGGAGTGATTTTAAGAACAGATTCTTGAACCTAAGGATGAGACCTGATTTTAGGGTGTTTTAGAAAAGTTAGTATTTCGAGTCTTAAATATAATTCTGATTTTTTTAGTATTCAATTAGATTTTATTTGCTCTAGACTGGCCATATCCTGATTAATAACAAGACTGACCATATCCTGATTAATATATTTATTAAGTTTTTTGAGAGAGTTTGTTATCAATTGAAGATTAGTATCATCAGCAAAATGATACGTTTTTGAATGTTTTATAGAAAGATTGAGATCATTAATATAGATAATAAAGAGAAGAGGACCTAATATGGATCCCTGAGGTATACCAATTGAAACATTTTTAATATCTGAGCTGGTTCCATTTATAGTTACAAATTGTTGACAATCAGAAAGGTATGATTTAAACCACTGGAAGGATATGTCACGTACACCATAATAGTTAAGCTTTGAGAGAAGAATTTTATGGTCTACGGTGTGCATACATACATAATATATTTGTATACATACATACATATTTGTGTACATACAATATATTTGTGGTAAGCGTTCTTTAGGATGATCCAAAATAAGGTTTTGAATTTTCAAAAAAACGCAGACCTAGAACGGGAAGAGTTGTTATTACGCATGCATTCAAACTGTAAACCTTATTCTGGATCATCCTCGCTAAATTTACTAATAAACGACCTTCGCTAACCGACTTAGTTCGCCTTATACAAGTTTTTGAAGCGTCTATTCAAATAAAAATGAGTGAACACGAATGTTTTCTAAATTCTGAAGAGTTATCAGGTAATGATTTTCTTATTGACATTTTCTTCTTTTAGATTTCTTTAAATGTAATGTATCAATTAAGTTTAGAAATAGTGTTTAGAGAAAGTTTTAAAAAAAGCTTTTTTTAAAAAAAATTTCTTTAATGTAAATGTTTGATGTAAATGTAATTATTATATTATTTATTGTTATCATTATTATTATTGTAAATCAATTGACAGTGGAGTATTGAGTTTATTGTAGTTGAATAAACAGCAAGTCAAAGCTTTAAGAGTGATATATTGACAAATATTTATGCTTGAATTATTAATAGACAAACTTTGATGAATCAAAATAGAATATTATTTAAGAATAAATGGTTTTAAAATTTTTAATAGTAATGTTATACTCTATACAACAGTTAAAAGAAATTTTTGTTTTGATATACATTTAATAAAAAATTAAAAATGAACAAATAAGTCCTTAGTAGTAATGGTTATTAATAGCTGTTACTGTAGACTGCTATTGTAAATATGATGCGACAAAAAATCAGTCATTGAGCATAATTATTCTTTTTATAAATGGATACTATGTATGTGTATTATTAGCTAAATAAACCTACATTATAAATTTATGGATGTCTCAAAGATAGTTATGTATGAACTTGAATCGAGTGGTACAGCTTAAATATTAGAGACACTCTAGGTTTTATCCCAAACTGGGATCCAACAACAGTATCCCTTTTTGGTAACTCAAAAGGACTTTTCTCAAGGCAATGTTGCTGAGACCAGAGGACAATGAGTGGAACTTGAATACAATAGGGGGTAGTTGTTTGGCATGAGTGTAACAGTTATTGCAGTGATTCATGTTGTCAAAAATATTAATTTTATCAGTAAAATGTTGTATGATTTTTATATAAAATTATTGCATTTATTGTCAATATCCTCGTAATTTCTAATTTACTTATTATTAAATTGATTGTAACTCAAACATTGTTTTTTCAAATCCAGCTGGAGGTTTAGAAGTTAAACACGTTTTAACTACATATGCAGATGTTTGTGCAAAAATAAAAGAACATGAAATGCTGTACACAGTGCATTACGTTGTAGCTTTCAAAAAAAATATGGAAAAAAATATTGAAGGTTTTTATATTTTTTGTAAATGTAAATTTATTATAGTTCAAATCTATTTAGACTTTTCAGTGATTTAATTAAACTTAACTTAGTTCTATACGACTAGGCATCCCTGCTTTTAAGTTATCATATTTAATTAAACTTGTTTTTATTTAGACATTATGAAGAAAAATCACAAGGTATATTTTGAGCATAAAGATTATCCCTACACAGGGATACCCTTCATTATTTCATCATGTTGTACTCTTGACTGCCAACAAGGAAAAGATAAAAATTGTGCATCAAAATCTAAAAACAGAATGAAAAAAAACCTAGAAGCTGTAAGTATAGTTTTGAACTTAATTGTTGGTTGCTAAAGAGTTTTTTTTTTTTTTTTTACATACAGTACAAGAATTACATATTATAAAAGAAAAATATATAATCATTGTAATTTTTAGAATATAATTTTTCATGTTCAACTAAATTAATTAATGCTATTTAAATTATATATTTTTCTAATACACAGGCAACAGATCATTCTTGCCAGAAAAAGCGAATATTTTTGCAGGATACCAAGAAATTTGATTGTCTCGCCAACATTACTATAAAAGAAATAATAGAATTCCCTGATTTTAAGGTATGATCTGTTTAAAATTTATTAAAATACAACAAAAAGAGCAATTACTTCAAGGTTTTACAATCAAAATTTTTTTTGAATGATGTCTAGATACTATTTGTTTGTTGATACTTTACAGATTAGGCCTGATCCAAGCAGGTTAGTTTTTAACAAACAGGTTGCGCTGACACCTGCCTTTTTAAATTTGATTCAGCTCTTTCATAATGCCCTGAAAATAAGAAAATGTCTTTGTAGCAAACCATTCAAATGCAAATGTGGGGACATGGATGTAAAACTTCAAATGTTATTTTTCTGTTTGTTTACCAATTTTAAGTATTTGTTTGCTTTTATTGTAGCTAGAAAGAGATTCTTTATATCTAAGAAGAGAAGCTTCAAAGAAACTGCACTCAGTTTTAGCTACTCAAAATAAGTTTACTATACTTAGAAAATATATCTTATTGTTACCAGACATTTCTGTTCATAATAATCATCTAATTAATGATGTAAGTCATACTTGATGAACTTACAAATTTATTTTTTACTTATTTTTTCAAAAAAAAAATTAACAACTACCTTTTTAGTATTTTTAAAGTATAACTTTTTAGTATTACTCTCTCTCTCTCTCTCTTTATATATATATTTTTTTAAAGGAGGCAGGTCTTAATCAGCCCTTATCGAAAGAAATCATTAATAAAATTGGTGAACTTGTTAAAAACGGTGTCATTTCAGTTCCAGAAATGAGGCGTCATCTGAATACCTTTGTTCATATGCAATTTATCTCAAATAACATTCCAAAGAAATCCAACAAACGATTTTTTCCACGAGATGAAACAATTGCTAATCATATAAAGAAAGCTAGACAAAATCTTCGTAGATCTATGATAGATCAAGAATGTTTGCGTGAAAAGATCATCGAATGGAAACATTACTTTCCAGATTCCATGATATTGTTTAGACCAAAAGGTGAATGCAATCCTGACGAAAAGGGTCAGAATCTTCAAGATTCTTTTTTATTTGTATATCAAGATGCATGGCAACAAAGATTACTCTTACGATATGGGAATGAGCTTGCCTTTCTGGATGCAACATATCGTACAACTCGATATGCTCTTCCACTTTTTTTTCTTGTTGTTAAAACAAACATCGATTACCAAATAGTTGCCATTTTTGTGTGTGAAAATGAAACAACTGAGGCAATTACAGAAGCACTAATGTGCATTAAAGACTGGAATCCATCATTTCAACCAACTTATTTTTTTACGGATTACAGCAATGAAGAGATAAACTCACTTGAATCAGTTTTTGTTGGTATCATTTTTGAAAATGTTTTTTTTATATATAAATGTACTATTAATAGTTCTTACAATGTATTCAATTCTAACAAACAACCAATAATGTAATCATTTTTAAAGTTAATAATTGATTTATTTACTAGGATGTCGAGTGCATATCTGTGATTTTCATCGTGAACAAGCTTGGGAACGATGGCTTTCCAAAATTGCTAATGGGTGTTGCTTGGTGAAAAATATAGTTAAGGAAAAACTTCGTGCTATTGCATATGCAAAAACTGACGAAATTTGCAAAAAAGAGGTTCAAGAATTAGAGGAGTCACAAGAGTTTCAAAATAACCCAAAATTGTCAGAATATTTAAAACACACTTGGTTGTGTATTCAAAAGGTTGTTGATATTAATGAAATTTAAATGTGGTAACAGTTGCTTATGGCATTGCAATTACTTATGTACATACATCTTAAATGAAAGAACTTGCTTCTTTCGTTTAAGATGTTTTTTTAAGGGCTTTTTTATATGATACTGTTTATAGATATTATTTAATAAGTTTAAAGATATTTTCTAATTGTATGAACCAATCAACGTTTCTAAAAATATGAGCATTTTATAGTAGCTAGCTTTAAAGGAAAACGTTTCAATTCCAACTCAATATTTTTAATATGAAGTTTTTCACAATGAAATTCTCAAAACCAAATAAATTAAAAGGTTTATTTAATAAGATTTATAGAAAATATTACTGTTAAATCGAAAATAAATCAATACAAAAATGTCAGATTTACATTTTTTTTTTATGTAACAGTTTTAAATTATGTTTAAAAACCTGGCCGGTTTTTTTCCAAATGCTGAATGTCTGCGAAATATTTCATTAAGAATCTGCGTGTAACTATGACATTGTATTGACTATCTATATCTGCATGTTAGTGATAACATAATAAAGAATTAATGTAAAATTTAGAATTTTTTAAATCATTGAGAAATCATAGTTTTAATAGGCAGTAGCCTCTTTCTTTTTTAGAGATGGGTGTTTGCTTACAGGCAAGATCGGCTCTTGCTAAATGTCAACACCAACAATGGCATTGAAAGACAAAACCAATCTTTCAAATACAGTTTCCTGGAAAAAAGAAAAAATTCTTCACTAACATCTATGCTTAGTATTTGCATCGAAGAGTTCCTTCCCCACAATTATGACAGGTTAGTTGACACTGCAGCGAATTTTAAATAACCTTTAATTAAATTTTTTTTAAGCTTATTATATTTATGAAAAACTGAAAGAAATATTGACTACAAAATTTCGCTATAAAAAATAATATTCTTTTTTTTTTTTTTTTTTTTTAAATCTTCTCTTTTTTCTTTAAAATTCTGCTAAATAAAAGCGAGTAGCGCTGATATAAGAATATCAACAAAAAAAATACTAAATAACATAATTTGTGTTAAAATATTAAATTACATTGTTTAATTAAAAAACATTTGTCATACACTATTATTTATTATTATTATTATATTTAGCTACTGTGATAAAAATAGAATGGCCCATTCATCATACCGGAAATACAATAACAATATACCAGAGTATTTAATTAATCGTCCACACCCTTTAGTCAAGCATTGCATGAGAATGATAGATAAATTACAAGGTGTTGACTTGCGAGGAATAGTATCTGTAGGTGAACAGTTGTACAATGTTGCTTCGTTCAATTTAAATAGTAGAGAAATATACCAATGCTACCTTGGTGATGCCAAAAATATGCCGACTTGTTCTTGTCCAAGTTGGTTTGATACCGCATATCCATGTAAACATTTTTTTGCTATTTTCCTTAAAGAAAACCTCACTTGGTCAGCGTTTGGTACCATATACTCTGACTCACCCTATTTCAAACTAGATTTATTTCCAGATGAAAAAGAACCTGCAGAGTTGGCTAAAGGGTTTTCAAATTCCACCGACACTTTGTTGCAAAACAATCTTTTAGCACATGAAAGATCACTGCAAGGTCTACCAGTTAAGTCATGTGTGCAGATGGTAGAAAGTGTTCAATTAATGAACACAACTAATACCCTTGGTTATACTGAACGAAGTTGCAATCTACAAATCAATAAACATACTGCTGAAAAATGTCGTGAACTTTTAAATGAAATTAGACAAATGACATATTTATGCAGCTCTCAAGTAGCCATTGATAATTTGTTTGAAGAGCTTTGTTGTCTTAAAAAAAACTTAGCAGAACATCTCCCAGCTGAACAAGGGATTCTCCTGCGTCTAGAAAATAAACCAGATATTTGGAACAAGTCTCAATCAAATTTACCTAGCCTTTGTCAGCTACCAGTAAAACGCAAAAGGAAAATGATTAAACGAGTTGGCAAAAAGTATGACATGTATAAAACAGCCTCTGATATTAATGTTCTAGAAAATAAGAAATCTTGTATTTTTGAAATAATTACAAGTCACACTATTGATGATAATTGTAAAATATTTACAGTTCCCAATGATTTTATTGCAATTGAAGAAATTTCGTCAGATGATTCCCATGAGTTGTTAGAGTCTACTGCATTTGATGTCAATAAAGAACATCAAAGCAATTTACAGCATATAAAACATCTGAAATCTTCTTTGATTGGAAATATAGAATTGAATGAAATTGAAAAAGAACAAATGCTTAATGATAACACTATTCACTTTTGTCAGCAAATTATGTCAGTACAATTGGGTATCAATATTGGTTTGCAAGATCCAATTAAAGGAAAAGTTCTTTCGTTTGAGATTCTGAAGAGCAGTCCGTTTGTTCAAATTCTACATGATGGAAATCTCCACTGGGTTTGTGTAACCACGTATGATTGCAATCCAGGGGAGATATACATTTTTGACAGTCTTTTTTGTGGTTCGGTTTCCTACGACACGAAAAAGCAAATATGCTCCATTTTACATACAGAGCTAAAATATCTTGTAATAAAAGTATTACCTGTGCAACAACAAACTAATGGTGTTGATTGTGGGCTTTTTGCTATTGCCTGGGCTAGACAAATTCTTGAAACAAAGGGTATACCTTCAACTGCAATGACATTTGACCAAAAACAAATGCGGAAGCATCTACTACATTGTATAGTGAATAACCGGTTAGATGTTTTTCCTACCGCTGTTAATCCAAATGTGTTTCGCAGATGTGCAGCAAGGACATTGCGGGTTCTTCTACATTGCTCTTGTCGCATGTTTTGGTCTCCTAAAGACGATAAAATCTTCAACAGGTAAAATATTTTTTTTTAAATAATTTAATATTTAAAGAAACAATTACATATATAAATATGTAAAATAATATAAATATGTAATATAAATGACATTGAAAATTATTTCAAAGACAAATGGCTGAATGTAACACTTGCAAAAAATGGTATCATCGTGAATGCGAACGAATTCCATTAAGTGCCTTTGAAAAAGAAGATGAACTTTGGAATTGTTACAGCTGTAACAGAAGTTTGTCAATATATTGAGGCTTTTTTGAGGTTGTATTGTAATTATAACCTCAAATGATGCAATCTGCAAGTAATTTAAAAACACTTGTCAATATTCCTAAATTATTTCACTTTTGTTGCTAATTAATCATAGATTAGTTTTTTCCGGAAATTCCCGGAATTCCAGAAATTCACTTAAAACACCTTTAATTTTTCCAGAAATTTCCGGATGTTTTTTGAAAAAAAGTTAATATATTTTTGCATAAAATGTTACATACGACCACTTTTGCATTTAAACAAATATGTTTTCTATAATTGAAATTTGCACCAGATCAATTTTCGTAACAATTATTTGTCTTTTTCTTTTTTTTTTTTTGCTTTTCAATTCATTCAAACTTTTTCGAATATTATAAATCTCTTTTTGTAAAAGTTTAAATAATCTAAATTCCGTTTGTCGATCAAGTTTTAATAAACTAATTTTCCGGGATTTTCATAGGAAAAAAATTTCCAGGATTTTCATAAAGTCAAATACTCATCTATGATTAATGTGACATTAGTTTTATTGCAATAAACTATTTTACACGTAATTTTATACAGTTTTATGTCTTTGCTATAGACGTAGACATTTATACCATTTTGATAACACGTATTCTTAATTTGGCACAAATATACTGTTATTTGTGTACTGGTATAAAATGCCCTAATTGATGTGTTTGTGTCATGGTGCTTGTAATAATTTTGACATTGAACTGCTTATACCTTTTTGTAATCGGCATACTAATTATAGAGCCTTTTTGTGGTATAAGCCGTTAGGGCTTAATATATATAGCTATATGGAGAACTAATAGTTCTTCTATAGTTCTGTAATGAAATCGAGTGTAAAATAGTGTTGCACTGAATAAAATTGCCCAATGCTAATTTTTTTTTTTTTTTTTTAGGGCGGTAAGCGGAACTTGGCTACCTTCCCGTTGGTGCTTACTGATAAAAATGAATTCGAGAGGTTAAGTTGAAAGCTTTCCTTTTGATTCATAACTAAATGCCAAGACGAGAGAGAAAACCCATCTGAACTAAAGGCCTAATATTGCGAAATGAACACTTAAATCTACGGAAAACAAATATTTAATGTTAGCTACCATTGTGCTTATATATATGCTTGAATAATGAATTTATGATATTTATGTAAACATTAGTTTTTAAATTTTGAATAAATCAGCTTTTAAAAATTACCTTAACTTTTTAACGAGATCTACCTTTAAATGTAAGAATTCATTCAAACTTTATTAATTAGTGATGAAGTGATCGTTATATTTAAACTAACTTTGAAAACTCGTTTGCGTTGATATTAATTTTGGGCTGGAGAGTTTCAACTCACCTTCTAATGTGCTCCCCACCTTAATCATGTCGTAAGCTTTTAGCTATTTTACTATCTTTTTACTTTATCAGTTTATAAAGTATTCGCGTGTTGTTTGTCCGTTATCGTGTAATTTTAACTTCCTTCAGAGTAGCTAGATTTTTGAAATTTTTAGCATGTCATGCCATCGTATATTAAAATTTAATGTTAATTAACATAAAAATTGTATTATTGTAGTAAATTAAAAAAAATTTAAACAAACTTTTTAATATTACAAGAAATACAAATGGGCCTTGAACCCCGTTGCAACTCAATTGAAGTGTTGTAATTTTATTACTCAATTGAGTTGCAAACGGTTGGTTCTTAAATATTGCGTTAGATTCTTTTATAAATTTTGTGCAAATAATTACCTAATAAGCTCAACTCTATCTGTTATTATACGTGTTAGTATGTTCAAAACACGCATTGTGTCCACTAATACAATAGAAAACAGTTAGCTTTTCAAGAAATCTTAAGTGGTCTTTTTAAATTCTCCTTTTGTTTAAAGTATTTTTTTCACATTCTTACTTAGCATAATTAGCATAGCTAATTCATTCATTAGCATATTTCCTAAACAGAAACTTTCTTTCTAATTGCTCTTAAAAATGTCTACGTGACGTAAATTATATTACACCGAAACCGAGTCGCTGTACCCAACTTTTTCTTAATAATGCCATATAAACAACGCCCATTCAATAAAAACACAAAGTTTCGGATTATATAAGTTATCATCTTTTGCGTGGAACTTTATATTGTGCTAGAAATTTCGGTTAAAAAATAACGCACGATATATTCTAAAGAGATGCATGCAAAAAACGTTTTTTTTTTCCTTTTTGACGGGTGTAGGTTGCCAATATTTGGATGCTTTTTCAGCATTAACCGGTGTCGCAGTAAATTAAGATCCTTGAAATTCAGCCTTGTGAGTCTATTTTTTTCCGGTAATGAGAAAGTTTAAAGTTAAAATTTACTGGATATCGTCATATTTCTTTACATTGATTTTAACAGCTGATAAAAAGATAGAAATGTCGCGATCAAACGATTGTTTAACTTAGTGAATTTCAACTTTAGCAGGAAAGGTAAAGAAACCATGACTTTGAAGTTTTAATTTCCTCGGATCCTCATTTCCCGCTACACCGGATTTAAATAAAAAAGTATATTTTTTAATAATATTTTCAATTGTAAGTATAATGGTTAACAACAACCCCACCACGTCTGCTTCTACTACCTCGTCTGCCACGCCAGTTATGCCGAAAATGTGGTACATCAGTACCACCGTTTTCCACCCAAACGCGGAATGCACTTCGCGACTTGGGTCCTGGGTGTAACTGCCTCCAGTGTAAAAAATCTGTTCTTGTCAAACCTAAAAAAAATGTTGCAAAATTTATATACTGTAAATTATATAATAAGGTCCGAAATGCTGAGTTGTTTAATATATAATTGCGTCAATGTAATTTTTGAAAACTGAACAGAATTTACAATTTGTTTTTAAATATATGCAGCTTTTCGGCTGCAAATATCTAAAAAAATCACTTACAATCTGGTATTTAATCTATAATAATATTAAAAAGTTAAAACTTATTAACTTACCAGACCCAACAGGTGTCAAAGACACTACAAATCACACGTAAAAAAAGTCTTACAAGCTATAAAAAACATCTTAACATTGATATTTAACTAATAAGCATGTTAAAAAAATCATATTACACATACTAATATTGATATATATGTTATAATTTTTTTTTTAAAGTATTAACTGTTAAACTTACCAACAGCAGCTGGTCTAGATTGCACTAAAACTTGTATAAAAGTATGTGTAAATTGTATAAAAGTATGTCTAAAAGTATGTGTAAAAGTGAAATTGGTATTTCCTCTATAAAAATATAAAGTTACAATTTATGGACTTACCAGACACAACAGGTGGCAAAGGCACTATAAATCAAAAAAAGAATGTTTTACAAACTATTAAAAACATTGCATAAAAGTAGGTATATTGTATATCATCTATAAAGTTATAATTTATATATTATAATATTTATCTATAAAGCTACAACTTATGGACTTACCAGACACAACAGGTGGCAAAGGCACTATAAATCAAAAAAAGAATGTTTTACAAACTATTAAAAACATTGCATAAAAGTAGGTATATTGTATATTATCTATAAAGTTATAATTTATATATTATAATATTTATCTATAAAGCTACAATTTATGGACTTACCAGACACAACAGGTGGCAAAGGCACTATAAATCAAAAAAAGAATGTTTTACAAACTATTAAAAACATTGCATAAAAGTAGGTATATTGTATATTATCTATAAAGTTATAATTTATATATTATAATATTTATCTATAAAGCTACAATTTATGGACTTACCAGACACAACAGGTGGCAAAGGCACTATAAATCAAAAAAAGAATGTTTTACAAACTATTAAAAACATTGCATAAAAGTAGGTATATTGTATATCATCTATTGAAATATTAAGTTATAATGTATTGACTTACCAGACACAACAGGTGACAAAGACACTAAAAATCATAAAAAAAAACTGTTTTAAAAACTACTAAAAATATCTTGATATTGGTATGTTACTAAAAGTATTTTTATAAAATCATAATTCTTAAAATGATAATAATGAAGCAGTTTCAGATAATGCTAAAGGTTATTATAAAAAAAGGAATTGTTAAATTAAAAAATAAAACAAAATAAAAGCAAAGTAATATTTATATAAATTTTAAAAATTTTTTTAAAATTATTAACTTATAAACTTACCAACAGAAGCTGATCTAGATTGCACTAAAAATTGTATAAAGGTTATATTTGATTTACAATTGTAATAGAAAGTCAAATATAAATTCTATACAATTAAAAATTGTATAAAATTTATATTTGACTTACAAAAATAACATATTAAATTCTATATTTGGTTTACAAAATAACATTTCAAAATATTGTAATAATTTATAACTCAACAAAACATTGTTTATTTTTCCAAGTTATAGGTAGTGCTGTTATCAATTTTATAACTAAATCTAATAAAAGTCAAATAAGTCAACTTAGAATAATCTATTAGTCAATTTATTTGACTATGGACTTTATACTAATTGAGCTTCAAGATCTTAATGTCACCTATCAGTGACATGAGTAGTGGGTTGGAGTCCCACATCACAAAACCTGTCATTACGACCCTAAAATCTTAAACAATTTTTCACTAGGTTGTACTAAAAAGTAAGAAAAGAATGAGCTTCTTAAACTTTGAAAAGGGCTCTTAAATTTGCTTGACTCCCTCCCAATTGTATAAAAGTACTAGACACAACAGGTAGCAAAGGTACTACAAATTACAAATCATCACAAACTTTTTAATTTTGTTAAAAACATCTGAATATTGTTATGTAATTAATAATCATTTTAATGAATCATAATTTAAAAATTTGCGAAAATGAAGTTCTACAAGTTATTCTAATTTTGATATCATAAATTCTATAATCTTTTTAATGAGTGACAACTTACTGTTGAGAAGCAATCTACACTTTTTACCAACAGTAAAAAGTGTAGATTGCACTAAAGATTATATAAAAGTTGGTTATTAGTTTAATATAAAATTTAGTGTTACTTATAAACATTTGAAAAATATCGTATTAAATCTTTTACATTTTTTTCATTCAGTCATGTTTTCATGAACAATTTTTTTAAACGAATATAAATTTATTGAAACAGCCTTAGGTACTACAGGTATTATAGGCTTATGCAAAATATTTAAATTTGCTTAAGCTTATATTTTGTATAAAATACGCTTATTTTGATAAGTGAAATACTTAGATTATTTCAAACAGTTATACACTAAACATGTAAAATCAGTATTATTCATTTTACTTACTAATAAGGTTCCTTAATTCACCTAAAAAATAACATTAAATTACAGAAAACAAAAAACAATTTAGGGTCAAAACAAAGTTAACAATTAACACGAACAAAAGGAAAAGTAAATTAGCCTACTTAAAAAGGCTAATTTACTATTTAAGGATA